GCGTGCAACTTTTTTAGGTTGACCTAAATCCTTTGAGTGCTTAGCTAGGGTGATCTAAATGCAATGCTTGCACACACCACAAGACTGCATTCAGTTCTACAGTAATATAAAATATATTACAGTACTACTGTGTTATTTTTAAAAAGGCCATTTGCCAAGCCTCTTAACAGTTTTAAGTCTGGAGATTCTACTACCTCACCCTGACTTGGCCTTCTCCTGCATTTGTTCTCACTGATGAGGAAGAACCAAAGACCTGCCAGGGATTATCCACCTTAGGCAGTTTATTAATCTTTGTTCTGAGCAGATTTATAAAATTAAGAAGTCTGAATACATGCATGGCATAAGCTAGGGAAATAAAAAAAATGCCAGAGAACTAGCCAACCCACCATATATAGTTTTAAAACGAGGAAAATTATTCATTACATAGTAAGAACTACTATCCCATCTTCCAACCACTATGTACTTGCTTTAAACCAGAAAAAAAGATCAATATGCAAAGAAGCAATTAAACAGCAGAAATAGTTTAACAGCTGCTGTTCCTGGCCTGAGAAGTTTTACTCACTCAGTATGTTACACAAAAAGTACTGACTCTTGCCAGGTAAATTAAGTTTTAGACAAAACAACGTGCCTACCTCAGTTGTCTAAAAACACAAGCTGTTCTCTTATAGCCTTGGAAAGCCAACATGCTTAGCTTTAGAGCTGCAGCAGCAAGCAAAAACTATTTTAATCAAATTTTGACTGCTTTGAGCTGACCTTTATTGATTTAACTTCATAGCAGCAAACAACAAGTTTAACACAAACTGGTATGGCTCGTTAGCTACAGGAAAACTGACTCGAGGGCATATCTACACCAGAAAGTTGGTGTCTGCAGAAACTCAGGCCCCAGCAACTTGAGGCACAGGCAGGGCTCAGGGGATTTCAGTCACATTTGTTTTGCCTAGACCTATAATTCCCTTGGGCTGACTCACTGTAGAGTGAGTATGTTTTCAAGAAATTTCTGAGAGAAGCTGGTGTTCCTTATTTGGTCTTCCACACACCACAAAAAGGACAAATTGTAGACTAGAGCACACACAAAGACGTAGTTCTGAGGGAGCATGGATAAGAAGCTGGGTAGGGTTGGAAACTCAATATGGAGCTAGGTGCCTGCAGCAGCTCAGCTGCAGTGTCTCATATTCCAAGGAACTTTTTCAGACAGTCTAAACTTTGAGGCCCAGAGCTACAGACAACATCCAAACTCTACCCAGATCCAGCTGGCTTGGAAGTACAGGATCACCAGTGTCTGGGTCACAACCTACATGATTAACTATTTAGTAACCTACCAAGGCCTGACACATGAAAACAAAAATCTCTAGCTACAGTAGAATGCCAAATTAATTTTTCAAGGATAGAGAAAAAGGATCCTGAGAAATGCTATCATTTTAAACTACATGGAAGAGAGAAAGGAAGGGATGTGGACGTATACAGAAAGGGAGTGGACAAATTGGAGAGTGTTCAGTGGAGGGCAATGAAAATGGTGAGGGGGCTGGGGGACATGACTTCTGAGGAGAGGCTGAGGGAACTGGACTTAATTTAGTCTAGAGAAAAGAAGACTGAGAAGGGACTTTATAGCAACCTTCCAACTCCCTGTAGGGTGGTTCCAAGGAGGATATAGCTGGACTGTTCTCAGTAGTGGCAAATGACAGAACAAGGAGCAAAGGTCTCAAGTTGCAACAAGGGAAGTTTAGGTTAGATATTAGGAAGAATTTTCTCACTAGGAGAAGAGTAAAGCACTAGAACAGGTTACTCAGAGAGGTTGCAGAATCTCCATCCTTGGAGGTTTTTAAGACCCGGCTAGACAAAGCCTTGGCTGGGATGATCTAGTTATGGGTGGTCCTGGTTTGAGCAAGGGGTTGGACTAGATGACCTTGTGAGGTCCCTTCCTACACTAATTTTCTGTGATTCTATGAAAGGAAAAGGATAGTCTAAAGTGAAGCCAACATGAAAAATAGCTAATGGCTGCTCCTGCAGGGTTTGCATCATTACGTAATGCCCACCCAATGCATGGCTGAAGATTTTCTCTGGGCTTGAAAGCCTACTGCCCACATGAAAACTTCACTTTCAGTTGAGGGGTTCTTCAGAAGCCCTTTACTTAGGCAAAAGGATTTGTGTTCCTTGCTGTGCTCCGCTAATGAATTTGTAGGTGGCCACATGATCACCTCTCAGCCTTCTCTTGCAGAGGCTGAAGAGATCCAGGTCCCTTAATCTCTCCTCACAGGGCTTGGCCTGCAAACCCTTAACCATATGAGCAGCCCTCCTCTGGACCCTCTCGAAGTTATCCACATCATTCTTAAAGTACAGCACCCAAAACTGGACACAGTACTCCAACTGCAGTCTGACCAGTGCTGCATAGAGGGGAAGTATTTTTACATGCATATAAAACTGGAGAACACCTATTTAAACTTCTCATTTCTGGCTGAAAAGGGAAGAGTGTGCTATTACTGTGGCTAGTACCTACCTAACACACCCCAATGACCTACAGCACAAAACTATCTTCATTTAAGTACTGTATAATGGTTGTGAGATCCCTATAATCCAAGCTGGAAGAGTGCCTTGACCACAGAGGAAAGGAATTTAGGTTCCAAAAGAACATTCCTTAGCATCTAACAGTCAATTTACTGATCTATTTTGTGGGGGGGAGAGGTGCAACTGTATCATAAGAATTTGTATCCCATTGCTTCCTAGGAGATTTGCAGTTTTAAGTAGTAGCAAATAAAGAAAAACAACAATTACCTTAAAATAGTTATTAAAAAGAGCCTAAAAAGAAAAATAGTATACATGAAAGGAAAGCTACTGGATGTTTATGCCAGCAGAGTTTAACCTTTTATAGGAGTGGTGGGGCTGAGTACTTGCTATCTGGCTGCATACCTTGCTGCACCACAGGCCACTTCTCTCCTCTGGTTGTGGTGTGGGGGAGAAAGAGGTGGCTGCCAATGTCAGAGGGAGGGAAGGAGTGTCAGCCATGGGAGAGGAGAAAGAGCAGGGAGAGTTGGGGGAGGGGCAAGGGAAAAAAAACCCAAAACAGCAGCATGGTGAAGGATAGAGAAGTTGCGCTGGGTCATGCTACTTGTTGATCTCCTGTACTACATGCCAGATCCAGTTGCTTTAGGGGCCAGATCCTGCTGGCAGGCTGTAAGTTGAGCACCATTGGGTAAACCACTGCAACTTTAAATGAAAACCTCTTTGCCTTCCTTTACAACTACACTTCTAAATGTCTTCTGTGATCTACTATCCCACACTAACTTCTTGACTATAAAAGGGGGAACTTACTTTAAATCTTCCAATATAACAAGGTACTATTCTACTAATCAAAAACAGATTCATTTTTGAGAACAACATTAATCTGATCATTTTTTACTTAAAGAATGGACTGTTTCAAAAAGTGTACTTTTCTCATGAATCACTAGTACTTCAGGATTCACTTTTAATAGAGTTCACTGGCTTTCAAGTCTTTGACAGCACATACTAATTTTAAACACTGTAAACATTTATCAAGAATTAAGTTATGAGTAAAAATCTCATTCACTCCCAAGTCCAATCTACGTAAACCATTTTCATCAGTACCTTCAAGACCTTTGAGGAATAACAGCCAATGATCCTTTCAAGCATGCCATTAAGTGCTGCATCTAGCTTGAGGGTTTTTGGATACTGTTTGCAGGAAACAGCCTTCCCAGGACTGTACATTAATCTTCCCTCTACCACCCTAGGATGGAAAATTTAGAACTTCGAAAATTTAGAAGCCTGAGAAGTGAACAAATGCCAACATTCTCAAAGCCCCATGTTTCAGAATAGTCCTGTTTCAGTCAGATACTCAGCTAGTGAAAAGCAGCATCGTGAGACTGATTTTAATGAAACTGCACAAACTTACATCACAGAAGGGTGTGGCTCAGGTTCACAATAACCAAGTACTTTAACAGACGTTTGGGAAGGAAGTGCTATAGTACAAATAATGTATAAATACTCAGCTCAAACGTTAAAATGCTGACTTCATTTACCTCTTAACTTATGCACTTCATGGGTATGTAGTCATTAATTCTGTTAAGATAGAGGCCTAACTGGTAACGTTTAGGTCTAATCCAAACCTGCAGCAGGAGTAGGTGCTGGCACCGCCAACGCTCAGGAGGAGTCGGCCTCACACCCCATATCCTCTGAAGAGTTGTTGTAGGGATCAGGGCTCAAGGTAACAACACTGCCTTGGACAGGCTCTGTTACTGCAGGGGGGAAAGGGGCAAGGGAATAAGAGGTGCTGGTGCATCCAATAGCTAGGGAGTTAATGGGCAGCTGCTGACAGATCCTTACGCAGACCCCCAATATAGATGCTGCCAAATTTTGATGGTAATCATAAAGTAAATTTGACAGCAAAAAAGCCCAGAAGCTGCAGGAAGCAACAGCAACACTACGCAGTTGCTCTGTTAACTGGCCACACAACACCTCCTCCCACAGCATCAGCTACTGCCCTAGAAACTTTCTGGCACCGCTTTAAGGCTGTGCCGAGAGCTCATGCCCTGCTTGACCAACCCAAAATTACACCAATGGTGAACGAATCAAGGCAAGCAGATTTGAAACAGGCAATCAATTCCTATGACATCCAAGGACCTTCTGCAATTGCTGTCCTTTCAGCCTTCCAAAGAATACCTCAATATTTAGAAGTACATCACACGCTCATCAATTCTGGACCACCCAAACATTAAGTTTTCCCTACCTGCTATAGTAAAACATATCTACTAAATCTCTCCTTCCTCCTTAACGCATGTTACCATGAAGTACTAGACAGCAACAGGTTCTCCCAAAGGAAGTAAAGGTGCAACAGATGTACAGACCACCACCTATTAGTTTAAAACTACACACATACACACACACACACACACAAACTATCTATTTTGTTTTAGAACCAATTATCAACAGTCCATTATGACATTCAGCACAACTGACTGGAAAATGCATAAAATAAGCTTTTACAATACCTTCTATGAAATCATTTTCATTATAGAGTTGCCTTTCTCCTAGTCCATCATCATCATCATCATCATCTTCATCCGGATTATTGATTACCTCTAGGCCAGCCTCAATGACTTCCACCAACTCATCACGCTTATCCTTTCTCACAGGCTTCTCCTCTGGATGACGTGTAAGCCCCATCTCTAACTGAAACACTTTCATGGAGGTAAAGCTTTCAAAGGGAATGACACCATATTCACTTGGTAGTTTGGCCCCTGTGCTCACCTCAGCCTTATCAATTTGGGAATGAAGAAATTGTAAGAGATCATTGGATGCTTGTTCTTTGGTGCCTTGGTAACCCATGCTATTGACTCTTGGGCTCTTTTTCTCCTGTAGTGACTTTAACTTATCACTCATTTCCTGAAGCTCTTGCTTTAGTTGGGCAATCTGACGCTTCAAACTGGCAGCTCGTGTTTGATAATGTTCCTCTTGCTCCTGAAGCAGCGCTTGGTAGTATTCCTTACCCAAGCTCTCCCCTACAATTCCAGGCAGGGATCCATTGCCATCTGTTTGAGGGGCACACTCAAGCAAGTACATGAACAACATCAAACTGAACAGCAAGGCAAGGCCCACTAAAAGCCAACGGGTCCTAGCTTGAAACATTAAACCTCTTCTGGACATTCTTATAAAATTGCCATTCCCCATACAGAAAGATGATCTTTTTGTTCATACCTTTCCAGGACCATCCCCTACACAGTTAGAATCTTAAAAAGGGGAATGAAACCATAATTTTCTTAATAGCTTCCCCAAATTCTGACTTGGCAAAAAAGAGTAACTTTCAACTTCTGTCTTACACTTGTGCAAGACTTCAGAAACATAAGAAAGTCTACTGTTAGTATAACTTCCATGACCAATGGTGGTGAACAAAGTCAACACCATAAGAGACCATTCCTATTGTCAGAGATCAGTAAACTGGGTGATTCATCTCAAACATACAGAGGGGGATTCAGCAAGGGATCTTGTTTTCCATTTCTCAAAAGAGTTGTTTTTAGTTTGCATTAAGTTTTTCACAGTGAAAAAACAACTTGCAAATACTGAATACAATGAGCTTTCTGCATGTACATGTATATACTGTGGAAACAATCTATGCCTCAGTAATAGTAATTTTCATTGGATAGTGTAGTACTTTCCTCTGGCACTTGATAATTGAGTATTTTATTCCACTTCCCCCCTTCTTCGATATCTGTGGTTTGAGTCAGCAAAATGAGGGAAGAACCTAAAATTAAATAAAAGGTGCACATTATAAGTACAAAGCAGTCCGACATCTGGAAGACACATGAAGGAAATGTTAACATCCAAAAAAAATGTAGACATGATGGATTACAATTTTTTTCTGTTGTAAAGTCTCATTTCTTTCTACTGTGTTACACATCAATAATTTCTTCTTATGAAGTGTCTAGAGCATACTAAAAAGAGCTAAATGAAATACAACTTTTCATCCTTATATTAAGTGATGCTGCGATTCTGGAATTCTCTACCAGAATTGCAGCATCACATTGGTGAACCTCATCCAGAAGATCCATTGTTTTGACAATCTAAAAAAAAATACTCAAGTACTTGCATTTAATATGCTCTGAGAGATTAACTATTAACTGATGAACTTAAGTATTAATAATAAATGTTCACACAGTGAAAAAACAGATTAAAAAGCTCTGGATTTTTGGCTCTGCATTCTGTTCAGTAGTGTTTTTCTGCATCAGCAATACTCAAAGTGCCACAGCACCTGGAGTTCCTTGAGATCCTTTTGAGGGTGTTATCCAGTGTTAGTGCCAGTAGGTGTGCAAACAGCATTCACAAGACTAGTAGCAAAGGACAGGGCACTGGTATGCACGAGGAAACAAGGACTTATAATTGGTTTTACCCTGAATGGTTGCACAAGTACTTAAGCATTTCTCAAACATAATTTAAAGTGCACATGACAGATGGTAGGGCTAAAAAACTGACAAGAGTCAATTCACTTCAGAGCTTCCAAATAGGAATTCACAGTGTCAAAAACATTCTGATCTGTTGTGGTCTTTCTGAGCACGACAAAAAAAATTCTCTATTTTTTTTTGGTGCTTAAAAAACATGTGAAAACTAAGAGCTGACATTTACCAAGGGGTGCCTTGAGTCTTACAAGGGGTGGCTTAAATTTTAAAAAGGTTGAAAACCACTGATCTGTAACATGGAAAGCCATATCTCATCAATTCCAACATTTCAGAGAATGCTCTAGCCATCAGGAGGCAGAGCCTCTGATGTTCATTAAAAAAAAAGAATCAGACCACTGAAAAAGCTCAATTCATTGCCAGGGCCCTAAAAGTATTCTCTGCCATCTGTCAAAAATAGCAGCTTCTCTCTCACAGGCAACTGTTTTGAGCCAAGACTACAAAACAAAGCAAACAAAAAAGGGTGCCTTATAGAAAAAGTGGACACGAGAAGAGTGTGACTGGGGAATGGAAACAGTACTAAACAAGCCTGCTTACACTCCCTTCAGTCCTCTGCTGGGCAGCAAGCTAATGCAGGGCACCCTGTCATGTGGAATGCAAATCTTTGGGAGAACAATTCAGTATCTGACAAATTGGTAGCAGAGCATTCTTTGCCAATTGTTGGTGTATAGGTAGGGTGACCATACACCTCAGTTTGGGCAGGACACTACAGGATTCTGTCACCCAGTCCTGGCCAGTTGGTCAAGAGAGTCCTGGGCCGGGGCCTGGCAGGGAGGCAGAGCAGCATGGTACACCAGGCATGCAGGCACCGCTGCTCCTGTGCAGGAGCTAAGTGGATGGACTGAAGCAGGTGCCACCATGCTTGTACATGGCACATCTCTACTCCTGCACAACAGCAATGGTGCCTACTCAGCTGCCTGCTTGGCACACCAGGCTGTTCCACCTCCAGCCCAGGACTTCTGACCTGCTGGCCAGGACTGGGCTGTGGAATCCTGGAGTGTCCTGGCCAAAACTAGGACACTGGCCACGTAACATGTAGTAGCAACAAAAAGTCCATGACTAAAAATCTGGAGATATGAGCAAGTAAAGATACAGAAGAGCCAAAGATGCTGCTAAGACAAGGCCCCAAAACAGAAAATGATACGCCTTTAAAGAGCCTGAAGACAAAAAGAGTATTTCACTTGTACCATGATACCAGGGGCGGCCAATTATTTTGGGGAGAGGGCCGCTTACTGAGTTTCAGGAAGCCATCGAGGGCTGCATGACAGGCAGCCCAGGGCAGATTAATATTTATTTTCTAAATTTTTTTTTTAGGGGCTCCGCAGGCTGGATAGAATGGCCTGGCAAGCCGCATCCACCCCCCAGGGCCGCATTATGCCCACCCCTGCATTATACTGTATTCCAAGACAAGCTTTATCCCTGTCAGCAACGGAGACGGGGGGGAAAAGGAGCTGGGCAAGGAGCTGAAAGGAGAAACTTGCATGACACTAGTACCCTCTCTAGTTGATCCAGGCTCCCTGCACAGCCGCTCCTCACAGCTCTCAGCTGGAGCAGTTGGCCTCCCAGCTGACACGAGCATATGGAGAGCCCCAGAGCTGCTCCTCCCCTGCACTTCACGGCGCACCTGTGGCAGCCTGGACTGCTCTTTCCAGCCTACTCAGCCAGTGGGGGGAGGGAGGGGGACAGGTCAGGGGGAAGAAGAGGAGAGCAATCAGGCAAGGAAAGAGGAATCTGTGTACTGCCAGCTCTGTTCCCAGCTGAGCTGGGTTCCCTGAACAGCTACTCCTTGCAGTACAGGGTTGGAGAAGCTCTCGGGCTCCCCCTGAGCCTGGATCACCTAGGGACACAACTGGAAGGAGGGCTGAAAGGGCAGGCAGCAGGCCACACACACAGAGGAAGAAGGTGCAAGGGGCACAGGTTAGGCTACCGGCTCCCCACACCACCTGCCCCTGCTTTCCCCACTGCAGCAGCAGGTGTGGAAGAGGATGGGAGACAAATTTCAGATGACTTTCCAATAATTAGATTCTTGACATGGAACAAATTATAACAAATTTAATTTTCCAGGTCTAGAATCTAATTATTGAGGGTCTATCTTAAATTCAAAGTCATCTTAGGTAAATATGGTAACTACAAGGCAAAAAAATAAAAATCACACAACAGAAACAGAATTCATGCCAAATCATTACCAAGATATTGTTTGTAACTTTTTTGGAACTGTTGCAGAACATAAACAGGGAATTTAACATAACTTAACTTACAAGTATCCATTCTTTGGAATCTTGGCCTAACCCGTCTTGGAGCACTTGGGTATACTGCAGCCTGGACAAGACATTCTTTTTCTTTTCTTCTTTCCTCCTTTAATTCTTCAGAGGACTTCTATATTCCCTTTCTCTAGAGAAGAGAGAGTTATTTGAACTACCACTGGCCATTCAAATAATGTTTCTGACCTTTCCTCTATAAATGTCTGCTAAAAGTACAAGAATTGCAATTCGTTTCACATGCCTAAAATATCATCATCAGCAGCAACTTCTTCCATACTGCAAGAATTCTAGAAATCAGTGCTCTGTCTTCATTCAGTTCATGCTCTTGGGGTACAAGGCATGAAGAGAGGCTAATACTTTTGTTTGAAGTTAAGAAACTCAGTGCTTTCCTACATTACAAAGAAAAAAAAAAGGTTAACTAGACTTCCCATTTGACAGTGTTGTGAAACTGTCCTCTGGGGCAGTTAGTCACCTGCTTAGTCCCAGACTTGGGCTCACTGAGGAGTTAAGAAATTTTTACAGCAAAAATATTACTTACAGTATTATACTCATTTAGGATGGCCAGTAGAACTTGTAGCTTTACCATTAGTTAGAAATCTGGTTCTCCAAAACTCTTGCCAACAAGGCCTTTATACCATACCACATCCACATGTGGAGAGTATGTAACACGTCAACCACTATGGTCACTTTAAGCTTTACCACACTGTTCTTTCCTATCATTTTACATTGCATAATGCCATTTAAAATTACATAATGCCAGTCTGAGTAATCCCTGCATATGCACTTTTTGCTTTAGCATCCATTCTCTGTCTCTGAGGGGTACAGGATTGTAGATGGATCTGTACAGTCAGACTAGCAGATTTCTAACCAATGATAAAGCTGTAAGTTCTGCTGGTCATCCTAAATTAGTATAATGGATCTGACTAGATCCATCTAGCATCCTGTATCCCACAGAGGAAGAGTGGATGCTAAGGCAAGAAGTATATAAGCAGGGCCTATCTAGACAGGTCTTTTCTTGGCCCCTACAGCTTCCCCTCTTTCAGATGCCATTTTGAGATAACCATCAGTGCTATACACCATATATTTCTACAAGGAGATAATTACCTTTAGAACACCTGGCATTGTTATACTTTGCTTTATAAAGAAAAACTGAAAGATTAAATGACTTCTCCAAGGTCACAGTTGGAATCCAACTAAAAGCTAAAAAATTTGCTATCTTAGTTACAACACAGATCATACCCCTTAGGAAGAAATTATCTGGGATTTAACATTTTAAAATATGCTTGTCATAGATCCTCAAACACACCAGCCCATCACAAACCTTGAGTAACATGCTAACATTTGCTTTCCTTGCCCTCCTTTCTGCCATCTGTACAGAGGCTGAGTTTTACGCACAAAAGCGGCCTAACCGAAAGCTACTGAACTGTTCATGAAACTGTTAACCAGATTACTGTTGGCAGAATTGACGCCTACTATTTCATAAGATTATTGAGCCTAAAATCAGTGGCATAGTTGCTGCCTTTGATCCATCTAAACCAAGACAGTTATTTTTAAACACAACCAGAATTACTCAATATTTTATTATGTACAGAAATATGTACAGAAAAAGATGCAACATAATTCAGATAACTGGGCCTGACAAAGTCTTCAAGGAAGTAAGTGCCTTCAACAAGTTACATAGTGAAACATTAAATAAACTGCACATTCATAAAAGCAATATGACACTTCTCCATACTGACTCGGGTTCAGATGTTGTTAATCAATGCATAAGGGGAGAATGGAAAGCAGATGGTACAGGGGAAGGAATCTACAAAACATACCCTTTACACACACACCGCACCCCACCCCAAGATCAAGGACTAAGATCCAACCTCCAACCTGTGGGTTTTTTTGCAGTGGGGGGGGGGGAGGCGAGGGGGCGTTGTTTTTAAAAAATAATCCTCACTTGTTAGCTTTTGCATGCAGTGGAAATGCAAGTCTCAAAAGTCTTTATTTACAAGCCTGTTTTCCTTAGATTCATTACAAATTCCAGTGCGTTGTATACAGAGAATGACTTCAGTTCACAAGAAACTGCAGACATCTGAACCTGGATGGTTCCAACTGGCAAACGTGCCCATCTCCAACAGCAAGTTTAAAAGCAGGCTGTGGGCAACTCAGAACACATTCAGCAAATCTAGTCATGGAGACCAAGGAAGTAAAACTGATTTAACTACAGGCAGTCCTCAACTTATGTTTCGAGTTGCAATGTTTTGCACTTACAATGTTTCTAAATTGACACTGTTTCAACTTTGACATCAGTTTCAACTTTTCAACGCTTGATTGGCTGTGATGCCATGCCAGTGAACAAGTTGCTGTGTCACCCATCTCCCTGAAGAACATCTGTCCAAACTTCCTTGGACACTTCCCTTAAGAAAGCACACAAAACTCCACAAAAACCTGCAGCCAAGACTCTTGAGAAGAAGCCAGCTAAGAACCCTTCAAGAAGTCCAGCAAAGTCACCTCAAATAAGTCCTTCCAAATCAGTATGACTGCTATTTACAATATAAATACATTAACATCGCTATATTACTCATCTACAATTGACTGAGTACAAAATTCTGGGTTATTTTTCATGAAAACAGGGTATTGGGCCTTCCCCCATTTAATGTTATAAATCCCCCATTTATAACATTGTTTCCCATGGGAAAATTGGTTCCGAGTTGCAACGTTTTGACTTAAGACGCCGTTTTCAGGAACCAATTGTGTCATAAGTCCAAGGACTGGCTGTATTTCTGAAAAAAGTATGAGACAGCAGCAGAAACATGACTATGGCCAGGACAGCTACAGCTTAAGTGCAGCACCTAAGCAGGCATCCTATAAAACATAGGAAAAATACAGTACATCATTGAGCCTTGTCTACTACACCTTATCTAGTATGTGGGTATGTAACAACTGCTGCTCTAGTCTTTCCCCATTGCTGTTTCCAATACCCTTTCAATTACCAGCTGCCCATGAAAAGGTGACAATCATTTTGAGCTTGATATAAAGAGACAGTGAAGCTTCTGTCAAGAAATAGGCCTTCTCATTATCTATAGCCAGATATTTTGACATAACCTCAAAGGCAAGTAAAGACTTCCAAGATACAAATATTTTTTTTCCTGACAGATTTCAGTCACAATGGACATCTGCTACTGTA